GTGGGATCAAAAGGCGTGCTGGTGGCACAGTGGTTAAAGCACTCAGCTGCTAACCAAAAGGTCGGCAGCATGAACCCATGAGCCACTCGGAGGGAGAAAGATGAGTCAGTCAGCTTCCATAAAGACTGACAGCCTTGGAAACCCTGTGGGCAGTTCCACTCTGTCCTCTAGGGGTGCTGGGGTCAGAATCCACTCCACGGCAGTGGGTTTGGTTTGGGCTTTACTTCTATAAGAGCTCTGGTGGTGTAGGGCCTAAGGCACTTGACTGCTAACCAAAAGGCCGGTGGTTCAAACCCACCAGCCACTCCTCAGAAGGAAGACTGGGCAATCTACTTCCATAGTGATATGGTGCGGAAACCCAAGGAGAGGTCGCTATGAGTCGGATCTGACTCAACAGCAGTGAGTTTGGTTTTGTTTTTTTGGTGTTGCTTCTATAAAGACTGACAGCCTTAGAAACCCTGTGGGGCAGTTCCATTCTTTCCTCTAGGGACACTGTGAGTCGGAATTGATGGTCGAGGGTTTGTTATTTAAATATGGGATCAAACTGACAACAGCAACTCGGAAGATGAGACAGGATCCTTAGGGGGCAGTGAATTTATGTCCATGGGGAGGAACAACTCAGGGCAGGAGGGAGAGGACGGCTGTACAACTCAAAGGATGTCATCAAGGTCACTGAACTGTCTACGTAGATATGACTGAAATGGTGGGCGTCCTGCTGTGCACATTTTCAACAACAACAACAAAAAAAAACTATCTTTAAGAAGAAAAAATAATCGTATCAATCATACGAGTCATTTAAGCGCCTAGGATCGCTTTTCATTTGTTATCTGATTTAATCCTCCAACAACCCGCTGAGTCTGTGTTATGCCCCATGTTAAAGAGAAGAAAAGGGTGGCCCAGGTCTGGGGAGCATCTTCCACAACAGTATTGGTGGAACTCAGTGACAGGTGCATGTGGCCCTGAGCCCCTAGCCCCACGGAGATCTGGGTTCCAGAGACCGTAAAGCCAAAGGGAAACTGAGGCACACCCAAGCACCACCAGTGCTACCTGTCTCTTAGAGAAAAATTCAGAGTGGGCTGCGTCAGCCAAACCCCAAACTTCACCCAACAGCGGTTAAGTGCACCCCAAGAAGCCTTGGCTAGAGGGACAAAAAAAAAAAAGCCTGCTTGCGTGAAGGGAGTGAAACGGGTGAGCTCAGGGGACTCGGGTCAGAGAAATCGCAGCAGACTCTTGCCAGCTGGTGCTGGGATGCAGACAGCTGGTGTGGGAGCAAGGCCCAGCGTGCGGCCTCCCTCGGCCCACGGGGGGCCCTCACCTTCACAGGTGACACCATCCACGTCGCTGAGCTGGTAGCCCCGTCGGCAGTAACACTGGTACGAACCGTAGACGTTGGCGCACTCCTGGCTACAGGGGCTGTTGATGCACTCATTCACGTCTGAAAGAAAGGGGTTCCCCAAGGTCACCACTGAGAGCTACGGCCCATGCCCAGCCTCCCCAGCAGCCAGACCAGCGGAGCAGGAACCGCCCGTTATGACTGGATCATGTTCTCCAAAACGTATAGGAATCCTAACCCCTATCCCTGTGGATGCAACCCCATTTGGAAACAGGGTTTTTATGTTAAGTTAGTGCGACCCTATCAGTGCGCCTCACCTCAGGCAGAGAGACAGGGACGCACCAGCGGGGGAAGAAAGATGCCACGTGGGGAACGAGAAGGGATGGAGAATGCCAGGGCTATAGACACGGAGACAGGACCTTCCCCCAGAGCCAACAGAGAGCTTTCCCTGACGGCCAGTACCCTGAATCTGGGCTTGTAGCCTCTTGAACCGTGAGAGAATAAATTCCTGTTCCTTAGAACCCCTGCTGTGGAATTTCTGTTACAGCAGCGCTAAGAGGCTGAGACAGTGCCCTTCCTCAAGTCAACACACACCACAGAAGGTGGCCCTGGAGTGACTTGACCCCGTGCCCAGTGAGTGCAGAGTCTCTTCATCCCCACCTTTGCCCCGTGTCAAGCCGCCCCATCTCCCATCAAGACAATGGTCACGCCCTGCAGTCTTGGCTCCCTCTGATGTCCGAGTCAGCTCTAGTTCCCAGTGGAATGGATTCTTAATCCCCACTCCACACGGCGTCCTCAGCTGACGACAACACACGAGAGGCCTTCATGACCTGCCCGCCGCGCCGTGCCCCTCATGCTTCAGTGCTCTGGGCTGGGCTCACTGCTTCCCACGCCCACAGCAGGGCCGAGTGGAGCCACCACCTGTTTCTGTAAATAGTGTTTGCGTGGAACCCAGCCGTGCTCACACCTTTACAAATTGTCTCTGGCTGCTTTTGTGCTAAGCGGCTAAGGTAAGGTGCTGCACCAGAGACCACAGTGGCCCGCCACGCCCAATGCAGCTGCTCGGGCTTTGAGGAAACGTGTGCCTCCCTTCTCACTACGTCCTGCTCACTCTTAGCAGGACAGGAGGGGTGCAGCCAGGAACATCCGCCGGCCTCTCACCTGTGCCTCAGCCCCCCAGCCTGGCCCACACCTGCCCACCTGAGCTCATCACAGTTTAGAACCCCTCCGCCCCCAGCAGGAGCTGTCTGCTTGCTACAAAGCCAGCAGGCACCTAGCAATGCTTACTGGAGTAAACACAGCAGGCTGGCCAGG